AGGAGGAGGAGGAGGAGGAGGAGGAGGGAGGAGGAGGAGGAGGAGGAGGGAGGGAGGGGAGGGAGGGAGGGAGGGAGGGAGGGAGGGAGGGAGGGAGGGAGGGAGGGAGGAGGGGGAGGAGGGAGGAGGAGGAGGAGGAGGAGGAGGAGGAGGAGGAGGAGGAGGAGGAGGGGGGAGAAGGAGGGAGGAGGATGCGCGGCCCGCTGCTCGAGGAGGAGGAGGAGGAGAAGGAGGAGGAGGAGCAGGAAGATGAGGATGAAGATGAAGATGAAGATGAACATGATGATGCTGCTGATGATGACGATGATGATGCTGATAACGGTGGTGATGCTGATGATAATGATGTTGATGATGCTGGTGAGGAGGAGGAGAAGGAGAAGGAGGAGGAGGAGGAGGAGGAGGAGAGGAGGAGAGGGGGGAACACAAAGGGAAGGAGGAGGAGGAAGAGGAAGAGGAGGAAGATAATGAGGAGGAGGAATATGAGGAGGATGAGGGAGGGCTGAGGAGGAAGGAAGGGGAGGATAATGAGGAGAAGGAGGAGGCGGAGGAGGAGGAGAAGGAGGAGGAGGAGGAGGAAGAGGATGAGGATGAGGATGAGGATGAGGATGAGGATGAGGATGATGATGATGATGATGATGATGATGATGATGATGATGATGATGATGATGATGATGATGATGATGATGATGGTGAGGATCATGAGGAGGAATAGGGGGAGGACGCGTTTGAGGAGGAGGAGGAGGAGGAGGAGGCGGATGATGATGATGATGATGATGATGATGCTGATGATGATGATGATGCTGATGATGATGATGCTGATGATGATGGTGAGGCGGAGGAGGAGAATGAGGAGGAGGATGATGCTTATGGTATGATGATGATGATGATGATGAGAAGGAGGAGGAGGAGAAGGAGGGGGAGGAGGCGGAGGGGGAGGAAGAGATGAGGAGCGGCCCGCTGCTCGAGCCGAGGCGGCTGCGGTCGGCGAGCCCCGCCGCCGTGCAAGGGCCTGCTGCGCGGGGCGCGCGTCCGAGGTGCGGTGTGCGCGACTTCGCTGCGGGAGCGGCGCGACGGGGACACGTGCGGTGTGGAGGAGGAGGAGGAGGAGGAGGAGGAGGAGGAGGAGGAGGAGGAGGAGGAGGAGGAGGAGGAGGAGAGGAGGAGGAGGAGGAGGAGGAGGAGGAGGAGGAGAGGAGGAGGCAGGAGGAGGAGGAGGAGGCGGAGGAGGAGGAGGAGAGGAGGAGGAGGAGGAGGAGGAGGAGGAGCAGGAGGAGGAGGAGGAGGAGGAGGAGGATACGGCACTGCCAAGGGAAGCGTCGCGCGGTGCACGAACGCCCACCTAGGGTGCCAAGCTGCTAGCAGCCTGGCTGGCCTGCGAAAAGGCTGGGACCCCACCTAAAGGATCACGGGTACCAGCCACGCAGACAGAAGAAGCGGGAGACTATGCCCCGTCACTTGGGTTAGGATGTGGGCACCCATGGAGCCTGACCCAGTGGGTTTCAGGGTCCGAAGCTAAAAGTGGACGAGGCGCGGGGACTCTGCGAGAGCCTGCTGCCCCCTCGTCCGCGGGATGAAAACCCTGCATGAATAAACGTCGGTTACGCACCGCCCGCTCGGACAGACGGTGGCCCCCCCCTGACGGGCAATCAACGAGAAGGTGACCAGCCGTGCCCGTAGTGAAGGCGCCACAGGAGACGCACAAACAAACGTGGCCCGAGGAAACCCAAAGGCGATGGCCGCGGGCGGCCGTGGCAGGAACAGGGCCCGTTCCAGGCATGGGCTCGGCTGGCACCGTAGTGTCGGCCAACGAGGGCCGACTTGAACGCTTGGATCCTATCCGCCTCCGCTTGTCAAGGAGGAAGGCAGGTCCTGAGCGCTCAGGGAGAGGGTGAACCATGGCAGCGGCGTCTGCCTGGATACTCGCGGCTCCATCCCAAGCAAGAGCAACAAGCTCGAAGCGCACGCGTGGCCTAAAGTGTCGTTCAAATCCAGGAGAGGGGCTGCGAGGGCGAGGAGAGGAAAGGCTACCCAGGCCCGAAGAAGGTGGGGGGGCCTCCGCCTCCCCTTGGACACGCTCATGGCCACGCGTGGGGGGCCCCGTCCGAGGGCGCACCGAGCGAGACAAGTCCGAGGGAGAGCGAGGCCGCACGGCAGCACCGAAGCTGCTGCCTCCATCCTTCAGCATCTGCCCTCCATTGTCGGCCTGGGCGCGCGCGGCGTCACCAGGGAGGTTGACAGTGGAGGAGCGCCGAGGGATGCCGGCAGCAGCGCGCAAACGAGCAGGGCAGGCAAGCAAAGAGAGACGACGACGGGTCCGTTCCAGCTTCGAGCCTTTCCTGCAGAACTCGCACCTCCATATACTACGATGGGGGACCTGGGAGAAAACATGGCGCAAGTGCGCCGAGACCTCCATGGGCTCCGAGGGGGCCGTGGCGCGCCGTGGGCGCCGACAGGCTTTCCTGCGCGGTCGGGTGTCGACACGCTGCTCGCCAATGAAGAG